CGCCGGGCCGGGTGGCAGCTTCCCCGGTTCGGCGGCCCTGCTCCTGTCACTGCTGTGGCTGATGGAGGAGGAGCCTGTCTCTGTACCATCCATGCTCCCTCGCGGTTCCCGGCACAGGGAAATCTCGGCCTACTAAATTTACATTTCACCGAAATCCCATCACATTCCCCCCTTAGATGCCTCTGATACAAAATTATTCCAGATGCATCACCAATCATAGTTTACCAACACCTCTCAGGTAGCCATTGCACCAGAACAGACCTTGTAAGCATCTTAGCATCATCACAAACTCCTTCAGCATTCCTCATCCTGAATATGTTCTCTTTGGGCTAGGGATTCATATCTATAGACAGCCATTACATGAGCCTCTGTCTTTCTTTCTATAGTACTCTCTATGATACTACGTTTAGATCTGACCACTAATGGAATTAGGCAGGGCAGAAAGAGACATAAGAATATAATGAATATAATGAATACTACTCCTCCTACTAATGCCTTAATCCCTCCAAGCTGCTCACACCAACTTCCAAACCAACTACTAGGATTATACCCATTCCAGACCTGAGTAGGTACATGCGTCAGTTTAACCATGTGGCTTGTAAGTTCAGCCACTGCCCGCCCTTCATCATCTATGTGCAAACAACAGTTGCTGAGATTAAACTTTCCACATACACCTCCCTGCTAATAGGTAGTCCAGAGCTAATCTCTTTTGATAGATGGCTGATCTCATCCGAGTATTTTGCTTAGCTAGAAGATTAAGTGCTTGAGCTGTCTTATTAGTGATAATCTCAACCACCGCCTGTAGTCTTATAATACGGTTGAGCATATATATTGGGGTTCTATATCCATAGGTACCAACTTCTGCCCAAGTAGCAGGTCCATAATAATTAATAATGCGTTGGGGAGGCCACTCCTCATCTTCCTAGCCACCTATATTCAAGGATGCTCACTTCTTTTTATGATTTACATCATAAACCTTAACTCCCAAGGTCTCTCCTGTCTCAATTGGCAACAAGAAGAAGGATGGATTGAGCAAACCTAATACACATGCCCCTTCCCCATCTTGTGGTAACTCTGAATATGCTTTCTTACCACAGATCCAATATAAATTCGCTGGGGCTTTCCAATTGGATGTAGCAGATAAGTCAAACCATACCTCTTTTAAATGGGTGTAATTGGCAAACGGATTAGTAGGCTCCGAGACATTTGAAGCTGACCACCAAGTAGTATCTTTAGTATCGGCATTATAGGCTTTCTGTCCTAGACATATTAACTCACCAACAGGTGTGGTATACAATGGCCCTTTCCTGGCTAAACATACATGACCTATAATGGGTTTTTAACCGCCACTCTGATTTACCTCTATTACTTACTTGATGATCAGACTGAGAAAGTATTTGTTGTTCATCTGTCTCAGAAGCAGGGTACCATACTTCCTTTGCCTCCCATGGCCACTGGTCTCCCATACTTGTACCTCCACATACAAAGCAATTAGTTACATTAAGACTACCTGCAATACTCTCAGTCAAATCAATCAATAGGTTCTTAACATTATAGGGAATTTTATCCTCAACACTCATCTCCTCATGGAAGGATTGAAAAACCTGATGAGTTTGAGTTGCTACCGTCTCAGTTTCAAGTCCTACATATATTATGGTCCCTGGATCTACTCCTGTGCCATATATTTGGAACCCAAATAGATTTCCAAACTTTTCAATAAAATGTTGTGGATTAGAGATGGTCATATGGACAGGATTACATTCCATAAACTTACAGTGTGGTGTAGTGGACAACCTTTGGATAATCATATCTTGATCCACTGTTTTTTCCCAGGTCGCCCACCCTACACAAGACCAATATGGACAAAAATAAAAATCCCTATTTGGGCAATCAGGATCAGTAGATCTTTTACTGGGACTTAAATATTTATCATTAAACCCATAAATCCGTTCCCATTTAAGATTACCACATACATTCCAAGGTTTTCCACTACCAGAGATCGCCTTACATGCATCAAATAGTAGAATGCCCGTAGAATGTATGGTATTTATCACAGTCCTATTTATCAAGGTCCCCTGGGAGTTACTGTTCCGAATTACCAACCAAATTGTACGGGGTTGGAATTGTGGATCAAAACATTTTGGCTCTCCTGATATTGGTTTGCACACACTGTAATCTATATCTAAATATCCACACTTAGATACAGATCCCCTACACTCATACTGTGAGTGCCAAATGAGAGTTTGGGATATTTGATTACCTGTTTTCGTAGTCTTAATGCAGCTAACACAACTCTGTATGTCCTCACCTTTACCTTCCTGAAAAATCACAAAAATGCAACAAAAACACATAATATATTTCAGAAGTCCTCATTTCTACTCTTCGACCATGCAACGGCACCTCAGCTTCACGATTGTGAGGGCTGCAAAGATTCTTCTGATCCTCACTTTTCTTCACAGAGGTCCCTTTGAGACACTCTGGCTATGACACGTAGGTAGGTGGTCAGGCTTTATTATGGCTGTCAAAACACCTACTTGCTGATATCTTTTGTTACTTTCAACTAAGATGTCCCAATATCTCCTCGTATTATTTCTCACTCCGACTGAGCTACTTGCTTTAACCGGATCTTGCAAGGATTTTCAGAATCTGGAATAGCTTGCCAAGAATCTGCCGCTGGTTTAACCCTAGAATGATGAATCCACTGAGTCACTTCTGCCACCTTTACAGCTGTTGGAGCAGATAAAAGAACAACATAAGGACCCCTCCACTTTGGACCTAATGGAACAATATTCCATTCTTTTATCCACACTTGATCTACCGGTTGATAGGAATGAACAGGTGGATATATGTTCACAGGTAACCTATCTTGCACCCATTTCTGTACTTCCTCCATAGTTTTACCCAACTCTATAACCTGCTGCCGAGTAATTCCTTCACCCAACTGATTCAAGTCCCCCCTTAGATTACTGAGCATGGGAGGTGGACGCCCATACACGATTTCAAAGGGAGACAGACCCATTCTTCTGGTAGGAGTACTACGTATCCGCAACAGAGCTATTGGCAAAAGGACATTCCACTTGAGCTGAGTTTCCTGACACATTTTAGCCAATTGGGCTTTTATTGTTTTGTTCATCCTTTCCACCTTTCCAGAACTCTGAGGTCTATATGCTGTATGAAGCTTCCACTTAATACCAAGCACATGAGTCAATTGTTGTCAACTGATGGATAAAGGCTGGACCCTTGTCTGATCCAATAGAACACGGAAGTCCATATCTGGGTATAACTTCTCGCAACAGAAATCGTACAACTTCTCCTGCCTTTTCTGTATGAGTTGGACAAGCTTCTACCCAGCCTGAGTAGGTACACACAGCTACCAACAAGTAATGATATCCCCCAGATTTAGGCATTACAATGTAGTCTATTTGCAAATCTGACATTGGGAGTCCTCCCATATATTGAACTCCAGGGGGTTTGGCAGGGCCTTGTCTTGCATTGTTTCGAGCACACAAAACACATCTTCGAACAATTGCTTGAGTAAGATTGGATAATCTTGGTATGTAGAAATGTTTCCTGAGAGATTCTTCCATACTATCTCTTCTTGAATGTGTACCATTATGGAAGTTCTGAACAATCTCTATAGCCAGAGATGTCGGAATAACTATTCTTTCATCTTCTAACTGATACCAATTATTCTCCAAGTATTTCCCAGCTTCAGTCTTCAACCACTCCATCTCTTGGGTTGTATATATCGGAGTCCATTGAGACAGAGGTGCCGGCACAAGGGCAGCGACATACCCCACATATTCCTCTTGCCCGGATTTTACTACATCACTATCACCTTTCAGATGTGCCCTGCAATGTATAATACCGACTTCCTTCGGTTCCCATACCGCCTCTAACAGTTGGAGTATTTCTGTTGCATATTTGATTTATTTCCCTTCTGAATTCAACAATCCCCTTTCTTTATCCAATGCTCCATGGGCATTGGTGGTTAGAAAAGCGTATTTCGAATCTGTGTAAATATTCACTCTCAACCCTTCAGCTAATTGCAAGGCCCTTGTTAATGCAATCAGTTCCGCCTTCTGTGCTGATGTCCCTTTTGACAGTGGCCTTGCTTCTATCACCTTGTCTATGGTTGTTACCACATACCCTGCATAACGTATACCTTCTTTCACATAACTACTACCATCCGTATAATACTGTATGTCCGGATTCTGGATGGGGAAATCATGAAGATCAGGCCTGCTTGAAAACACTTCATCCATTATCTCCAAACAATCATGTTGACTTTCAGTAGTCTGGGGCAGAAGGGTAGCTGGATTCAAATTATTGACAGTTTCGAGGTGTACGCTTGGATTTTCACATAACATAGCTTGATATTTCGTCATTCGACTGTTGCTAAACCAATGATTTCCTTTGTAATCCAATAGGGTCTGTACTGCATGGGGTACTCGCACATAGAGTTCCTGACCCAATGTGAGCTTGTCAGCTTCTGCTACCAACAGGGCAGCAGCGGCCACTGCTCGCAGACAAGGTGGAAGACCACTGGCCACTGCATCCAACTGTTTGGACATATAAGGTACAGGTCTTTGCCATAATCCCAAATACTGAGTTAATACTCCCACAGCCATTCTTCTTTGCTCATGTACGTACAGATAGAAAGGACGCGTGTGACCTAGGGCTGGGGCACTCATAAGTGCTTTCTTAACATCCTCAGATGCCTTCTGTTGCTCAGAGGTCCACAAAAAGGGGTCATATTCTGTGCCTTTCACAGCTTCATATAGAGGTTTCGCCAGTATCGCATAATTAGGAATCCATATCCTACAGAATCCTGCTGCTCCTAAGAATTCTCACACTTGTCTTCTATTCTTAGGTATAGATATCCGACACACTGCTTCTTTTCTTTCGGGTCCCATTATTCTTTGACCTTTGGAAATATGGAATCCTAAATATTTAAAAGTTGACTGGCACAATTGAGCTTTCTTCCTTGATACCTTGTATCCTGCTCTCCATAGAATGTGAAGCAAATCATAAGTTGCTTGTTGGCATATCTCTTTAGTAACAGCCGCTATCAAAAGATCATCCATGTATTGAAGCAATACACATTCTCCTGGGATGGACTTGAAATCTTGCAAATCCTGGCTTAATGCAGATCCAAATAGGGTAGGTGAATTCTTGAACCCTTGAGGTAGTCTGGTCCAGGTCATCTGACGCTCTGAACCTGTAACAGCATCTTCCCATTGGAAAGCAAAGATACACTGACTCTCAGCAGCAATCCGAAGGCAAAAAAAGCATCCTTAAGGTCTAGCACTGTGAAGTAGGTTGCCCCACCTGGTATCAAAGCAAGCAGATTATAAGGGTTGGGTACAACTGGGTGTATATTGACTACTGCATCATTAACTGCTCTCAAATCTTGTACAAGACGATATTCATCTGATCCTGGTTTCTGAACAGGTAATAATGGAGTGTTCCAGGGGGAAGTACAGAATTTTAGGATGCCATACCTTACGAACTTATCCAAGTATGTCTGTATGTTTTTCTTAGCCTTTTGAGGTATATGATCCTGACGTAGGCTCACAGGATAGGCCTCAAGCTTTAGTTCAATATGTATAGGTGGAATATTATGAGCAAGCCCGGGTGGATTATTCTCTGCCCATACTCCTGGAATGTCAAATAAAGGTTCATCAGTCTTAGGGTGATGTAGAATTATTAAAATCTTTATTAGAACCTGTATTGAATTATTGTACTAACTCCATTTTAATCTCACACTATGACAGAATTCTCCATTTTGTTCACCTTACATGACAGAATTTCCTGACAGTATTCAGTATAATGAATAAGAGATTGTATTTTCTCTCTCTAAGGACATAACTAGCCCCGGAGTTAGCGGATCTCCATTGACTTGCAACATAGTATAATCCAAGGCCAGGAGAACAGCGACAAAATGAAATGTTCTATTCATAAAAGAACCTTGGAACAGACCACGAGACTGACATCACTAACTACGTAAAATGACGCCCAAGCCCCCCTTTCCACCGAGTAAGCCTCGTGCTAAAGAGCAATGGCGACGACATCCCATGATGGGAGGGTGCCTCACTAGTCACTCAAATCTCTGAGCCAATTAATAATATTAATGGGTGGACACTGACATAGCCACTTAACATTTAACCCAATTAATGATGTTTATTTGTTATTATCTGATATTCAATGATGATGTCATTTTGCATATAAAAAGGCCTGCGTGCCCGCTTTTTAACTAGATGCTAATAAATTTCCTGAAGTGTTTTTAACCTGAACTGCATGTGTCAGTGTAAACTTACTTCTGCGTATACGCAATTTATTCATCTCAGATTTGGACAGGAACAGATAGACTTTTAAACATTTTTGTTTATTTCTAAATTAATCTACTACAAGGGTTTACTCTTGTCATTATGGAGTAGAAGCGCCATTCTTCTTCCCTTGGCACCGATACCGCCATTATGCCTAGTAATCCATTAAACCTCAGAGACGTTGATCCATTGGGTAGAAAAGTTATCTGGGCTTAGGGCTTCGATAATAGATCTCGTCCTAGAAGTTGAATTGGACACTCTGGCATATATAGGAACTGGTGCTTCACCAAATGGCCTCCCAGAATGCAAGTGCGACTTTTAAGAACCGGTCCAGCTGCGCTTCTCCCAGTAGTTCCTATCACAGTTATAGTTTTTCCTGAAGCGGGGCCACCAGTTTAGTCCACGGAATGTTCAGCACCAGTGTCAATCATGAAAGAACTCCTATTTCCCCCTATTGCTACATCGACCATAGGCTCCGCTCGGCCAAGGGGGATGGAGCCCGGTCGGTATCAATAGTCTTCCATGATAGTGTCAGCCAGACCCACAAAATCTCTATCCTCTCTATCTCGTGGTCTCTGAGTAGGTGGATAATATCTATCTCCTTGAACACTCCCTCTACTATTCCCACCGTTCCCTCCAAAACTCCCTCTTCCTCTATAACTACCACTATATCCTCCCCGTACTCTTCTCTCTCCTTGTCTATTATTTTCATAATACTCTCTCTGTGGACACTCATTCTTCCAATGGCCTTCCTCTCTACAAAACGCACACTGATTCCTACTTAACTGTCCCTTACTCAGCCTATTCTCGACTCCTTTATTCACCTCCCTTCCCTGTCTTTCTACACTTGTGATAGTTACCGCTAGCATATCTGCCTTCTTCCTAATTTTACATTCTTCCTCCCACTTTATCTCAGTTTCCCTATTCATATATACTTTATTTGCGATCTCCATTAGCTGTGATATGGACATCCCTACAAATCCCTCTAACTTTTGCAATTTTCTTTTAATATCACCTTGGGCCTGGCTGACAAATGCTGAGTTAATCATTCGAGAATTCTAAGGGGCCTCTGGATTAAGAGGAGTATACAAACTATATGACTCGAATAATCTTTCATAAAAGGCACTAGGTGACTCATCAACCTTTTGCAACACCTCAACCGTCTTTGACATATTGATTGCCTTCTTCCCTCCTAGCTTCATGCCAGCAATAATGGCTTCCCGATAAGCCCTTAATTGGGGCATGTCAGCACCATTCACATTCCAATTTGGGTCAACATTTGGATAATGGGCTGCAGCCCATGCAGCTAGATTGGCCTGATTTTGAGTACAGGCCGTTTCCTCAAGCGCTTTAATAGCCGCTTGATTAATCCGGGTCCTTGCCTCACAATTAAATAAAGTTAATAATAATTGCTGGCAATCGGCCCAGGTGGGATTTTGTGTTTGTATAATAGAGTTAACCAAATCTGTCATGACTTGAGGTTTGTCGGTATACGAAGAGTTATGAGTCTTCCAATTGAATAGATCAGTTGTGGTGAATGGGACATAGACAAACACTGGATCTGCCCGTTGTATTTGGCCATTTTTGTCAACATGTGTTGGGACCGGTGTAAGTCGGAGGGGCATTTGGTAATTCGGGGTTAAACAGTACCAGTCATCTGTCGGTTTAATATAGGACTTCAGCGAGGCTGTTTTATAGTAAGTTCCGGTCTAGGGGTAGTAAGGTAAGGAGAATGAGGCGGGTTAATTTTACTGGGCGGAAGTTCAGTCAACAGGATGTTGCAGGCCGGGCTGGGAGGAGCCTTTCCAGGAACCAGAAGTGACGTTAATTCCGGATATATAGAACTAGTGGAGTAGGTACCGGAAGGGGAGGACTCAGGGCAAGTGGGCTGGGCTATAAACTAGATGAATGAGTGGGCAGGGACAATGGGAAAGGGGGAGTGGCAACACCAGCACCTCCTCTAACCTTAGAGGAGGAGTAAGGGGGTGGGGAGGGAAGTTCAGACTCAGAGGGAGAGTCTAAAATTGTCGGGGTTGCGGCCCTGATGGACAGGCAAGTCCTGGCCACCATGAGGCGACATTGCTCCTCGTGGCATATTTTAATCCATTTAGGCAATTCTTCCACAATCTGTTTCCAACAATCAATATATGGAAACTGATCATAGAATTCATGCCTACTAGATACAGCCGCGTGCACATGTTGCACTAGAGTTAGATCAAGACTACCACGTGGAGGCCAAGCAGTCACCAAGATAGGCTACTCTCTACTACATAATGTAGTCAAACGCTTGGGGGATAATTTCACCCCAAAATCACAAACTTTATATCCCTTTGCAAAGTTTTTCAACATACACCACAAGGGATCAACAATCTTTGAGTCAGACGCACCCATACTGGCAACGGAGCGTCTAATACAAAGAAACACAATACCCCAAACACACTTCCAATGATCACACTTGTTTCCCTGGTAACATCACCACATGGCACAGTTGCTAGGCCAAACACACACATGAAAACACGCAGAGAATTCTCGTACATACAGTGATATCACGACGTCTCACTCACAAAGATTTACCAAACACTAGATACCTTTCTCTGTAACTATAAATCAAACCTTACAATTATCCACATTATAAATCAACTTTTAACTAACCGACTATATCACATTCTAGTAACCTCATCTTTACAATCAGTGATTATGGTACGCTTAGCAAGTGGTTATAATACAGTTTTAAAGTCACAGATCAGTTAGTAACAGTTATCGTGTTACGCCTATAACATAAGACAACAGTTTTTAGTAATTTTTACACAACGTCAGTAGTTATAGTACATGTTAATGGTTATAATACCGTGCGCTCTTATACAGTATACACACATTTTACACTCCCACTAGACGGCAGAGCTCAAGCTTTCTAGCAGGACATACAATTCACCAACTACAGTATATTTAACAACATTTACCATAATCCCAACTATTCTAATTGGCCAGCACCTCAAGAACTATTGAACTATTTACACCAGGATTCGGTTAGTCTACGCTGCCCAAGCACCACATATAGCGAACTAGTGGGCGGAATTTACAACAGTACCCATTTAGTCTATCTACTCTATCAATAGTCTAGTGGCTGAATTTACAACAGGGCACACTTAGCCAAGATAGGTTGAGAACTAGCAGACGGAATGTACACCAAAATCTGCTTAGTCTCGCCAGCCTCCACGACCTAGCGACCGAAATTTACACCTAGACACGCTAGTCAAGACAGGACACCGTTGTCCGGTATAAACTACTTACACCAAGATTTAGCCTGACCCAAACCACCTATATTAGAAGGGCTGACTACAGAGCGTCTAATTTCCAGATAAGCGGTGCGCCTTCGCTTCTTCCCTCCAGAGGGAGGGGGCAATCCAATAACCGGTTCCAAATATAAAACCCCTTGTGGGCCTACCGCTCTAACGGTATCAGTCTTACCTCTTCGTTCCTGAACCTGGGCTCACACTCATTGACGGGGCACCCCGGTACTTACTACGTAAAGGCCGATGATCTCCTGGGCGAAGCAGCCCAGTGGCGCTGAGATGAAGGGATGTCCATGCAGAAGTTCAGGGGTGCTGCCGTAGAGAACGTTGGTAAAAAGTTTACCGTCTCAAATTTCTGCGCCAGCTTCCGTGCGATGAGGTTCCCTGCCAATGCACCAAAGATGTAACCGAGTAAACTTGCAGAAGCCAGACACAGAGAGATGGATGCAGGTTTTTTAGAAAGCAAAATCGGGCCTCAGATGAACTAATGTTCCAAAACAGGTCTGAGGGCCGAACACATGGAGTACATGCTTTTTATAGAACTATAACTCCTCCTATTAATAGCTTGACGCGCACATACCCTTAACCAATCAGTAGACAGGATTTGGATT